CACTGCGGGTCCCAGGGTGCACTGTGGGCCCCAGGGTGCTCTGCGGGTCCCAGGGTACACTGTGAGTCCCAGGATGCACTGCAGATCCCAGGGTACACTGCGGGTCCCAGGGTACACTGTGGGCCCCAGGTTATACTGTGGGACCCAGGGTGCACTGCAGATCCCAGGGTACACTGCGGGTCCCAGGGTGCACTGTGGGCCCCAGGGTGCTCTGCGGGTCCCAGGGTACACTGCAGGCCCCAGGGTGGACTGCAGACCCCAGGGTATCTGCGGGTCCCAGGGTACACTGTGAGTCCCAGGGTGCACTGCAGATCCCAGGGTACACTGCGGGTCCCAGAGTACACTGCAGGCCCCAGGGTGGACTGCAGACCCCAGGGTATCTGCGGGTCCCAGGTTGCACTGGGGTGTGTCTGGGAGGGGCTATGGGAGCCCTGGTGGCATCTCTTTGCTCTGCTGTGTGGCTCCTGGTGTGAGTAGCTCATTCTGCCATCAACACGAGGCCACACCAAGGGCATTGCCTGATCTGAGTGGGAACCCCCAACGCTTAAACCTTTCCTCTTGGTAAGTGCTGAGTCTCAGGTAGTGTGTGTGATCATCACACACTTGACTAACACACACCCTGATGTAGACGCGGCTTTCATCCCACAGAAGAGACACTGAAGTTCAGGTGAACAGGGAAAAGCAGCGCTCCAGGCCCGATCCCAGGTTAACGCTCACAGTCAAAACTAAGTGTGAAAATGCCCCCATGTGATGGCCCTGTAACATCCGTGTCCTGGTGAACACAGGCACTATTCATCACTATTCCCAGACTGCCCATGTAAACCGGTGAGGCCGTGGCTGGCCAGGCCTTCTTGTCCACCCTGCTTCTTTCCCTGCTAGGAACGAGGAGGGCATTTTCCTCTTACAGTCTTTCAAAGAGCTTTCAAAAGAGCATCATGGCGTACCCGGAATCCTCATATTTCTTCTCTCTTCCAGACAGAATATTACCCAAACTCAAACAAGTTTTCCAAACACCAGGCAGCTTGTGGAATGTTCCAGAGCAACGTTTTCAATGTCGTCTTGGAGAAGAGCGTCGTGACGGGTCCTGACAACTACATCACCCCCTGTGACCGGCTCAACTTCCACCCCAGTTACAACGGCAACAGGCCGTCCTTCTGTGACTGAGGGTAGCGTGCTCTGTGGCCCAGCCACTGCTCCCCAGCAGCACTGCCCTAGTGCTGGACAAGTTTCCATATTGTAAACGTACACTGGCCACTTCTTTCTCTGAAAACACTGCTCTGTCTTTGCAACAGAAAAGTATGCAAATAGGGGCTGTAATATCCTGCTTTCTTCCTTTGATATTGAAGATATATGTAGAGAAGATGTGAATGGCTTAATTTTCCATTAAAACATTGCCTCTGTCTGAATTTTTTTTTAAATCAGTCCTGGGGCTTGAACTTGGGGCCTGGGCTTTGTCCCTGAGCCTCTCTGTGCTCAAGGCTAGTACTCTACCACTTGAGCCACAGAGCCACTTCTGGCCCTTTCTGTGTATGTGATACTGAGGAATCAAACCCAGGGCTTCGTGCATACTAGGCAAGCAGTCTACCACTGGGCCTCATTCCCAGCCCCTCTGTCTGATATTTGTGACGGAACGCCAGAGCTGTGGGTGTCTGGGACTGGAAGTTTAATCTGGAGTCAAGAAATGCATGGGTAGCACGCCAGCAATGTCATCAGGAAGCCATGATTGTTACCCTGGACCCTGGAGGGGCCCTGGGGAGCATGGGGTGCTGTGCCTGGGCATGGTGTGACCAAGGACTGGGTGATGGGAAGAGCAGACACCTGTTGGCAAATCATCCATCCATGATGCAGAGGGAGAGAGACTGGTGAAGGCCAGAAGGGGCCAGTGAGAGGGGCCATCTCAGTGCCAACTAGGCCAGGCACAGCTTAGCTAGAGATCAGACAAGATCCAGTGTTCTGAGTTAAAGGGAGGATCTCTATGATTGTAAGTTTCAAGAGAAAGTTAAAATCAGAGGAGTAATTAGTGTATTTGGAGGTGGAGGAATAACTACATAGGTGGATTGTTATCTAGAATCCTAAATCAGTGTTGGGTATAAGCTACTAAGTTCTAGGAGGAGGAGAAGATTCTGACATACCCTGGGGCCTCCTTCATAGCCTACTTATCTCCAGGATCTCGCAGGCACGAGTTTGAGGAGGAAGTTAAACTTCAGCCAGGACTAATGATTATGAATGCAGAGAAGTAAACACTGGGCAGCATTCTTAATGTCCCTTGTGGTATGGAGAACAGAACTGCTCAATATGTCTAATATAAAGGATACAAAGCAGAGCTTGACGCCAGAATAGATGTCATGTCTTTCTTCTGAGCTGGGAAACCAGCGATTTGAGTGTGACGGAAGATAGGTTCCTTACAGTCCTTACATCAAAGTGCCAATGTAACCCTTCTGTGTTGAAGCCTCTTAAAGAAGCTTCAGGACACGCTAAGGAGGAGGAAGCCCTTCCTCCCAGGTGGCTCTGAAGAGCAGGGGGCGGGGCTGGAGTGGCTAGTGCACACCTGAGAAAACCTCAGTGCTGGGCAGAGCTCTCCCTTCCGGGCTGAGGACCCTGTTGGGCCTGGCCTGGGCCTAGCAGTCAGCAAAGAAGGTGTGTGGCTGCTGGCCAGGCACAGCGGTCCATGCTTGTAAGTCCAGCCACTCTCAAGACAGAGACCGGGAGGATCATGGCTCATGATCCTCAAAAAGTTAATGAGACCCTATCTCAAAAAAACAAGGTAGATGGTGGCTCATGTCATGTGGTCCCGGCTACACGGGAAGTGTAGGTACGATTGCTGTCCTAGGTCAGCCCAGGCAAAAACTTGTGACAAGAGAGCTAGGGGCATGGCTCAAGTGTAGAGCCCCACTCTACTATCACCAAATAATGCTAATAATAATAACAATAATAACTCATTACTGTTTAGGGGATCCAGAGGGTCCTGTGGGCAGTGTGGGCTTGGGCTGGAGGACATTGATGGGCCAAGTCTATTAAGATGCTGTTTCTGCAGCAACTGCTGCTGCATTCTCTAAATAGAAGCATCTGGAAAGACAAACTCTCATTTCCTCTAATACGTCTTATTCTGTTGCTGTTGCTACACTGAAAAACTTGAGGCTGGGTATTTATTCGAAAGTAGAAGGTGATTTGGGTCTGGGTTTGGGAGAGCTCAGGTCTTTCCCCCTTCTTACCAACTCATTAATGACAAGGGTCCCACACTCCTGACCGCAGGCAACCCTGATGGCCTCCCAACACGGTTCCCTCTGACTCAGTTACCTGGGAGTTGGGGGACATGGGTCACGGGCCTCTGAGAGATATGCAAGCTGTGGCCGTGTCCATCCTCACAGCTTCAGCGAGGGCGATTCTGGCTCTGGCTGTCCAGTGAGGTTTGCAGGGCTTGGGCACTATGGCCTCAGCTGACCCTTCCCTGGCCTGGACACAGCACTTACCCTGTGCCTTTGCTTTCAGATGGGAAAGTGAGGCTCCAGAGAAGGTGTCCTGTGACAGGCCTCGTTTTGGAAGCTGCCTCAGGGAAGCCCCCGGAGCCCAGGCCCGAGCGTTTGTTCCTACACGCCAGGCTCTAAGTCGCTCTGCATTTGCAGGTGTCATGGAGGAAAAACGATTATAAACTTCCAGACCTTTGTCTGTTTGATGTATCTCCAAGCTGAAGCTTTCTTTTCCTGGTCCTGGGGCTTGAACTCAGGGCCTGGGTGCTATCCCTGAGCCTCTCTCTGCTCAAAGTTAGAGTTCTACCACTTGAGCCACACCAGCACTTCTGGCTTTTATGAGTAGTTTATTGGAGATAAGAGTCTCACAGGGCTGGCTTCAAACAGTGATCCTCAGATCTCAGCCTCCTCAGTAGCTAGGATTATGGACATGAATCACCATCGCTGGACAGGACATATTTTTTATATGAGCAGATAAAGTGCTGTCATATGATCATTCACATCTTGAGCAATAAATAAAGATGATTTCCCCCAGCCCTCCCCCACACCAGGATGACTGAAGCTCTTAAAACTGGATGTTTTTGCAGGATTGCCAGTGGGTTTATGTCTGTATTTCTAGCTATTCAGGAACGTGAGATATACAGGTTCAAAGTTCAAAGCCAGGCCAGGCAGAGACTTCCTATCCAAAATAGCCAGCAAAAAACAGACTGGAGATGTGGCCTAAATGTCGTGTCAGCTGAATGAGCAAGCCAAGTAACTGAAAGGCCATGACCTGGGTGCTGGTGGCTCACACCTGTAAATCTAGATACTCAGGAGGCTGAGATCTGAGGATCTTGGTTTGAAGCAGCCGAGGCAGGAAAGTCTGAGATTTTTATCTCCAAGTGACCATTAAAAAGCCAGAAGGGGCTGGGCAGAAAATTCCATGTGACTCATATCTCCGATAAATCACTCAGAAAACTGGAGGTGGTGCTGTGGCTCAAGTGGTAGAGCTCTTGCCTTGAGATGAAGAACCGAGGGATAGTACCCAGGCCCAGAGTTCAAGCCCCATGACCAAACAAACAAAAACTAGGTACACAAGGTATAGAAATTCTCTTCTGGTTACAATAGCTACAACACTGAGCTCCAGAGACCCTGGGTTGCAAAACTCGAGGTGATGATGCAGAGATTAGAGGCGTTCCCTGCGGTAGTTGCAGGCACTGTGGGGCTATGGGAGCACCAGCAGGCACGCCTCGAGGAGGAACCAGAGGCTCCCGAGCATCAGCCAGGCCCCTCTGGGTCGGCCCAGGACGACGGGCCACAGACAGCAATGCATACGGTTGGCTTGGGTGCCCAGTGGCATCCACCCGGCTCCCTCAGGGCGCTTATGTGGGAGGCTTGTCCCCAGCACTGGGGGCTTGACCACCACAAGTGACCGAGGTGTCTGTGGACCAAACCACCTCACGAGTGCTACTGTTCACTCACACACAGGGGTCTACAACAGGATGATGCACACATACCTGAGGTGTGCCACGATTAAAAACGAAGATCAATAGCTCTCATAGAAAAAGAGGTTTATTGAGATCTTCGAGTTCTCTAGACACTGGGCAACACTGGACATGGTCCAGCTCAGGGCTGAGCTGCAGAGCCAGAGGCTCCAACCTCACTTAGGATGACAGGATGGGATGGGACCGGACAGGACGGGACGGGATCGGACGGGACCGGACAGAACGGCTGGTCAGAGGACTTTGTGCTTTGAATCTTTCTCTCATCTCAGGCTGTGACTGCAGTCTTCGGAGGCCCCTGGGGACCTGGGGTTCTTTGCAGCTCCTGCCAGCTTCTGGGCACAGCACAGGACGGCAGGCTCCGAGCAGGCCAGTGCCACTTTCCCCAAGCCCCAGCTTGTGTGCTAGCAGGTGGCCAGGAGGCGCTGGCCCAAGCCTCTGGCTGTGGCTGGGAAAGACAGCGCCAAAGCTCATCAGCAAAGCTCATCCGCCTCCCCGCCTGAGCAGACCACAGAAGCCTGCGGCTAGGGATGCCCTACAAAACGGAACCACAGTATTGGCCAAAAATATTTTTTTTAACAACACTTGAAATAATTTACAAAAAGCTACAAAACCTATCTTTATCAGGACACATCTGTTAAATAAAAACGTAATTTCAAGTTAACATACATACACACGGGGCTACAAGAAAGGACTCTCTGGTTTCCGCTCTTTCACCACCAGCCGCTTTCCCACCTAGGTGCAGACCTGTGCAAACACGCACGCACATGGTGGTGCCGCTTCCCACCGAAGTGACAAGATCTGGGGCTCCCATCACAGCTTGAGGGCTTTGCCCTTTACCACCGCGCCGCTTCCTACCGAAGTGACAAGATCCGGGGCTCCCATCACAGCTTGAGGGCTTTGCCCTTTACCACCGCACCGCTTCCTACCGAAGTGACAAGATCCGGGGCTCCCATCACAGCTTGAGGGCTTTGCCCTTTACCACTGCGCCTCCGCCAGTGCCAGGTGTCGCTGTACTCACTGGCATCGCTGCCCAGGGCCTCCAGGTCCTGCTGGTCCCCGTCGCCCGCGAGGTGGCCGTACCTCAGGTCTGAGATGTCCTCCCCGGAGCCCAGGCTTCTGCAGTGCAGGCGGAGCTCTCCCTGTGCCCTCCTGTTTGGCCGGGGCCCGCTGTCCTTCATGAGCAAGTACGGGCTCCCAAACACAGGGCTGTGGCCGACCTGGGTCTCCCTGAAGGCCGAGAAGGCTGGGCTCTGCAGAGGCAGGCCCAGGTGGGGACTGAAGAGGCCGGCCTGCCTGCCCCCCCAGGAAATGCTCTTCCCAAAGTGGACCATCTGGGTGGAGAGCCGAGGAGGGAAGCTGGCGAAGGGCAGGCTCCTCCGGGGGCCCGGGGTGCAGCCACTCCGGCCCCTCGTGGGCCCCTCCGCCCCCTTCCCTTTCAAGCTCCCGGGGTCACCTGTCCACGGGGAGCCCCGACCTTCTGCGCTCAGTGTCCAGGGGCTGGAAAGCCTGCTCTGGTGGGCAAAGTCACTCCAGGGGAGGGTGAGGTCAGCCTGGGGTCCTGGGCTGGGGGTCAGCAACGTCCCGCTGCCATAGTTCAGGTGAAAGATGCTCCCGGTGCCCGCAGCCTCGGTGGTCATTCTGGCACAGCTAGGCAGCTGGCCGAAAGCACTTTCGGCAGCGGCCGGCTCGGCCCCTCGCGGGCTCTGGTCTCTGTGGTCACCAGTGTTCCTCTTGCCCCCGGAAGGCGTCTTGGCAGAGGCGTTCCCACTGCCACCCCTGGGCAGTGCTGCCTCACATCTGCCCAGGGCAGCCGGTGGGCGGGCGGCTTGCTCTGCATGCGAGGCTCCCTTTCCACCCTGGACACCTAGGCTGGCAGCACTCTCTGCCCCAGCCCGCTCCATGCCCCAGCCTCCTGCAGTCAGCAGAGGGCCCGCCCTGGCTCTCTGGCTCCGGGTTCGTATCCCAGGCTGCGGTGCCGGCTCTTTCCTGCATAGCACCTCTGGCCTGGCCAGGCCCCCTGGTCCCAGAGCAGCATGACTCCCTGGCTGAACGCAAGTGCTCACACACTCCTTGGCCTTTTCTGCCAAAAACTTCCTGATCTCCAGCTCGATGCTATCGTCACTGTCCACTGAGCTGTCCTCGGACAGGGAGCTGGGGTTGGAGGCTGAGGGAGGGCCGAGGCTGGCTTCCATGTCCCAGGAAGGCATGGTCCTGTGGGGGGTCCTTCCTGTCTGGAAAGCCAGCGCTGCAGCCTTGGCCCCCGAGCCGCCAGCCTTGGTTCTCTCTGCTGTGCTGCTGAAGGCTCGTGACATTGGAGCCCCCAGACCTGCCCCGCTGGGGCCTCTGGACCTGGACAGACAGCTCCTCAGCACCTGTGGGCTCCCGTCTGCCCAGTCTCTGGGGAGCCCACAATGCTTATCCACAAAATGCGTCTCCGTGGTGCTAAACCTGACCTTCTTCTTGCCCACAGCCTGGGGGTCCCTCCACCTCTTCTTCAACTTCTGCTTGGATCGTAACAGGTCCTTGATGGCCGTGTCCAGGTCCTCATCACTGTCTAGTGAGCTACTCTTGTCCTCAGAACTCTCTTTCTCTCTGACGCTTCCACCCTTGTCTGCCTTCCTGGTGTTCCCGAAGCCTGGAGCCGCATGCGAATCAATGAGCCCAACTGTCCTGGAGGGGACAGACTGGCTCTTGGCCTCGTTCTGCCCTGCTGGGGCCTTGCTGGCTTTGGCCTGGCTGGCCGAGTCCTGCCCTTCGCAGCCAGGCTCAACCACCGTCTGGCTATGGCTGCCACTCTGGGCACTGTCTACCGGGTCCCTGGTTTTCTTGGGTGTGGTTGGCCTTGGGGCACTGCCCCCTCCACCTCTCCGCTTCCTTTTGCAGCCTCCAGGCTGCTCAGGTGGTTTAGAGAGAAGGGTTGTGGTGGGGCCAGCCCGGGCTCTGGGGCCCGGTGGTGACGGCGGGTGCTGGGCAGGCTGTGGATTCCCCACCTGTGCCTTGAGAGCCAGAAACGTCCGGATCTCCTGCTCTATGCTGTCGTCGCTGTCCACTGCGCTGCTGTCGCCACCAGAGTGGGCCGGGGTGGCTGGGGCACAGAAGAGTGGGCCCCTGGGGAAAAGCGGGTCGCCGCCCTGCCCGAAAGCCGGCAGGATGGTCTTGGAGATGTCCAGGATCGCCTCTGCACACATCAGCTCGGCGGATGCCTCCGCCTGGCACGGGGCCTGCTCTGCAGACTCGCTCCTGCTGGCTGCGTGTCCTGGAGGTACAGGGGCTTTGGAGGGGTGATCGGGGTCAAGCCCCCCCGGCACACCGACGGCCTTGGGGGCTGCTGGCTTTTTCTTGCTTGGGGTCCTCCCGTGGGCCTCCAGCACCGGACTCGGCAGGGTGCTGCCCACACCGCTGGCAGGGGTGTTGGGCCCCCTCTCCTCTCTGAGAGGGGCTCTGGGCGGTGGGTCCCCGCTGGCTTCCTTCCTGGTCTTCTCCAGCTGGTACAGCTGGATGGCCTCCTCAATGCCATCATCGCTGCTAGAGTCCGAGGCCTCTGGCACAGAGGCCACACTCCGCAGTCGCCTGCCTCTGCGGGCAGCACTGGCGTTCCTCCTGGCCCTGCCCCGCTGCTGTGCCGCCTCTGGCCTGGGCACGGCCAGCCTCGTGCGGCTGGGGCTGTCAGGCTCCTCGGCCTTGGGCTGAGCGTTCGCCTTCGCCAACCGGGGATGCTTCCGGAAGACAAACTCCTTGTAGGCTCCTGCGGGGTCCTGCCTGGGCGCCGTCCTGGGGGGAGGCTCCCTGCAGGGTTTAAGTCTGGTGGCAGCACTGTCACCGGGCTCTGTGTTCCCATCTACAGGCCCCACACCTTTTTTGTTCTCGTGTTGTCTCTTGTCATGCAGAAACTGCTCGATTTCTGCCCGGATGCTCTGCTCGAAGGAGTCCTCACTGCTCACGCTGCCTGGAGAGGTGGAACCCTGGCCGGCCCCCGCAGAGCTGCCAGGGGTGCTGACAGAGCTGGGGGCCCGTGTGGGAGGGCTGAGGGGAGGCGGGGCGGGCCAGGGAGGAGGTGCTGAGGGGCTGGGCTGAGAAGCCCCGCTCTTGGCCCTCAGGTACTCCTGGATGGCCTCCTCGATGCCCCGGTCGACGGAGTCATCGCTGTCCGAGTCCAGCACCGAGGGGTCAAGGTGCACCGCTTCCTCCCGCCCCAGAGGGCCACCGTCAGCAGCAAGGCCACAGGTAACAAACACAGGCTGCTCCCTGTGCATGGCAGGGCCGGCCCCCAGCCCTGGCTCTGCTCGCTGGTCCCTCTGCGTGGCACGCCCATCGCTCATGCCCCGCAGAGGCTCCTCACGTGGCAGCGAGCTGATGATCATGCGCACTCCAGCGCTGACCGAGGCTCGGGTGGGGAACTGGAATCCTCCAGGCGGGCCAAAGGCCTCCCACCTAGACTGGAGCGGGACCACTGGAGGGGCGTTCATGAGGAACATCCTAGCAGAGGGACAGGGTGTGCAGGTGCACCCTGCTGGCTCTTTCCACCACTTTCACATCCTGGGAGGACAGAAACCACAGTGGCGCGATGCGTGTGACAAGCCCGCTTCGTGTGGGGACCTGGCTGGCGGCCACCAAGAACAGCCTGCCTGGCCTTCCACCCCGTGGCCCGCTGGCTGGGGCTCCTTGGGCAGCTGGCTCATGTTTCCTGTGCTTCAGTGTCCTCTGCTGTAAATGCAGTTTGTCCTCTCTTGGGCCAGGACTCAGCGGAGGCTCAGTAAGACAATACTTCCAGAACTTTGCACCTGGAGGAGTGTGCAGCGTCACAGCCCCAGCTCTGCCTTCCCCTTTCCGGCCTGCAGCTTCTCCGTCAGAGAACAACACAGGCATTATTTACCTCTAAAGGGTGCTGGGAGGAGACAAGGCCACACAAACGCTTCTCTGTGCAGGAAAAAGAAGGAGCACGAATGCGTGTCCAGATGAGTCCAGCTTCTCAGGTGGGTCCCTTCCCACCATGACAGAGGCACTCCTGAAACAAACAGTCATACAGTGTGAGCAACTGAGAAAGCACTTCCCTGAGCATCACGGTCACTGACACCAAGCCTTCCTATGTGAACATGGTAAAATGCACTTGCCAGGACAGCTCCTGGAAGTCTACAGTTAGCTCAGCAGTATAGACATGGCCCTACTCACAGCTGCTTGCCCTGTTCAGGCAGTGTGGTCACGGCCCGGTTTCCATAGCTCAACTAGGTGAGTCCTGCAACTCTCTAAATAGACAGCTCAGACAGCCTTTCCTGGACAGCCGAGGAGGGAGTAGAGCTGCAGAGGAATGCGGGAAGACTGACAGCTCAGCTGTGATCCATGTGTTCGGCCTCAGGGTACTTTCCCAGGTGCCTCGGATACTCTCCTGGGAGGGAGGGCAACGTGATCAGGCACAAGACTGATGGATACCGAGAAGATGAACTTCTCTCAGGACCACTGTAGGGAGGAGGCGGACCTGGCCCGTGTGTGTTCGCGTTGCTTCCATTGTGGGTCCTCGAGCTCTGTTTAACTCCGAGCTGCTGTTCACAAGCCATGCACCTTTGCCCAGAGAGGTCGGGCCAGCACTTAGATACAGAGCTGTCTCAATGGCAGACCCGGCCAGTGCTGCCAATCCAAAAACAACTCACTGGCCGTTACCAATCTGTGCTAAAAAATGAAAGCAGAATTCAAATGTCTGCAACGCTTGAAATCCTATGTCCAGACTCATCTTTCAAAAGGATTGGAGGATAAGTTTATCTCCACTGTTCTTATACTGAAATCACCCTCACCTAGTACCCCCAACCCCTCCCTGCACAGACTGCCCCCAACTCACTCCACACACAGCTCAGGCCGGCTTCAAACTCCAGATCCTCCTGTCTCTGCTCCCCAAATACTGGCATTGCAGGTGTGTACCTGTATGCCTGTCTCCCTCAGCTGGCTTTTTAAGATAGTTTTTTTTTTTTTTTTTTTGCCAGTCCTGGGCTTGAACTCAGGGCCTGCCTATCCCTGAGCTTCTTTTACTCAGGGCTAGCACTGTACCACTTGATCCACAGCACCACTTCTGGCTTTTTCTGTTTATGTGGTACTGAGGAATTGAACTGAGAGCCTCATGCATGCTAGACAAGCACTCTACCATGAAGCCACATTCCCAGCCCCAGGAATTGTTTTTTTTTTAATCAGGAATTGGAGAATGTACTTCGGAGACTGGAGCTGTAGTTCATACATATTTTTACAGAAACATATGTCATCAAAATTAAACTCTGGGAGATTTACCCTGAGACCGAACACACCGACTGCAGCTGACTGACGAGGTGGAGGTACTGGAGGGGCAGAGGTGTGCCTGTCTGAGCCAGAGCTCAGTCCTCTACTACTGCCCTACTGGCCATAAGCCACGGATGGACCCATACAGGCACAGGGCAGCGGCGACAAGTTCTCTTGCTGGCTAGGGACCTATGCAGTTCCTCAAACTCAGGTAAATGACAGGACTGTGTGAGCCTGGACTGTAGAGTTGAATTCAAGAGCATGAACTCCTGAAGCAGCAATCTTGCCTTGGCACGTGAGGAGCGGAGCCAGGTGTAGAGCTGGGGACCAGCAGCGTCGCAGCACATCTTGTTCACAGCCTGGAAGTGACCGCCACTGCCCTGGGAATCCGTGGCCACTGCCCTGGGAATCCGTGGACAGCCCAGCTGCTCGAACACCTAGTGTAACACACGAAGCAGAAGGCAGTCCCCTGAAGAAACCTCCCTGACTGCGGCCGGAGGTAGGAGCCAAGGCAGAGCCAGCCTGGTCACACAGCTGCCCAGACATCCAGCCTCTGGGGTGGCCGTGGGAACACGGGCACCTGCACCCAGGCCATGTGTCCAAGTCTAGGTTGTGGTGAGGGACTCTGGGCTTCCTCGGACGGGACACCCACCCCTGGAAGGGACGCACCCCCCCATTCCCGGACCCCCCCTACTCCCCGCAACTCCCCTTCAGTCAGGCCAGCTGGGACCCGGGCAGATCGGGTCTCCCCTCCGCGAAGGCGGGGCCCCGTCCCGAGAAGGGGAATCAGAAGTGGGCGTGGGCTGGCTCGGGTCCCGGGTACTGGGCCGGGTTCGGGCCGCCCCTGCCCCAGGCTGGCCCCAGGCGCCGGCGACCCCCGCGGCCGGGGTCCGAGCCCCGCCCGGAGGCAGGGGCGAGGGAAGGGCGCCGAGAGCCGCCCGCCAGTCCAGGTGGGCGCGGGCGGGTCTGCGGGGGTTTCCGGGGCTCGCAAGCCCGGCCAGGCCGGCGGGCAGGCCTCGGCGCGCCGCACAGGGCAGCGGCCACCCCGGGCGAGGCCGGCGTCCCCGCGCCGCGGACCTCACCTGCGCCTCGCCCGGGCCCGCCCCGCCCCGCCCCGTCGGCTCCGCGGGAACGCGGGGCGCGGAGGGAGAGGCGGGCGCGGGAGCGGCCCCCGGCCCGCCGCGCCCCGCCCCTCCCCGGGGCCCCGCGCCGCCGCCGCGGCCTGCTCGGTCCCCGGCTCGGCCTGGCCGCGTCCCGGGGGCGGCGGCGGGCGGCGCGGGGGCGCGGGGCGCGCGGGGCCCGGGAAGGGGCGGGGCGCGGCGACCCCCCCTCCCCACCGGCGGCCGCGGCGCCACCTACCCGCGGCGGCGGCGGCCGCGCTCCGGAAGCCGTGCCCGGTGGCTGGGCATCATGGGAATGGCACGGCCGAGTTCCGGGGAGGCGCGCGGCCCGGCCGGACCCCCGCCCGCGCGAGCGCGCCCACCTGCCGCCGCGCGGGGCCGCCGCCGCCGGGCCGGGCCGCGGGGTCCCGGGCCCCGGGGCGCGCGGGGCGGCCGCCGGGGGCGGGGCCGTGGGAAAGCTGCGGGCCGCGGTCGTGCGGTGCGCGCCTCTCGGGCCGGGCGCCCGGGACCGCCGCCCGCCGCCCGCACAGTTGCCCTCCGCGCCCGGAAGCGCAGGGTCGAGCCCGGCCTGCCCGCGCTGGCAGCCGGCCCCGCGGGTCCCGGTCTGTCTCCCCTGCCCAAGCCCCCAGCTGCCTCGGCGTCTGTTGGCCGCATGGTCCTGCGTGTGCGCACACGGCTCCGGGACACTAGCTGTCCGGGGACTCCCTCCATACTTAGGAGGTCTGTAAAGCTGAGAAGGGAATCCATCAATGCCCCCTGCCTAGAAGATTGAGAGAACTTCCAGTGCCCCGTGCCACTGTGCCCTGTGTTCTGTGTCCTGTGCCCCTGTGCCCCTGTGCCCTGTGTCCTGTGCCCCTGTGTCCTGTGTCCTGTGCCCTGTGCCCCTGTGCCCCTGTGCCCCTGTGTCCTGTGCCCTGTGTCCTGTGCCCCTGTGTCCTGTGCCCTGTGCCCTGTGCCCTGTGCCCCTGTGTCCTGTGTCCTGTGCCCTGTGCCCCTGTGCCCCTGTGCCCCTGTGTCCTGTGTCTTGTGCCCTGTGCCCCTGTGCCCTGTGCCCTGTGTCCTGTGCCCCTGTGCCCTGTGCCCCTGTGTCCTGTGCCCTGTGCCCTGTGCCCTGTGTCCTGTGCCCTGTGCCCTGTGCCCTGTGCCCCTGTGCCCTGTGCCCTGTGTCCTGTGCCCCTGTGCCCTGTGCCCTGTGCCCTGTGTCCTGTGCCCCTGTGCCCTGTGCCCTGTGCCCTGTGCCCCTGTGCCCTGTGCCCTGTGTCCTGTGCCCCTGTGCCCCTGTGTCCTGTGCCCTGTGCCCCTGTGCCCTGTGCCCCTGTGTCCTGTGCCCCTGTGCCCCTGTGTCCTGTGCCCTGTGCCCCTGTGCCCTGTGCCCATGTGTCCTGTGCCCTGTGTCCTGTACCCTGTGCCCTGTGCCCTGTGCCCTGTGCCCTGTGTCTTGTGCCTCTGTGCCCTGTGCCCCTGTGCCCCTGTGTCCTGTGCCCTGTCCTCTGTGCCCTGTGCCTTATGCCCTGTGCCCCTATGCCCAGTGTCTTGTGCCCCTGTGCCCCTGTGTCCTGTGCCCTGTGTCTTGGGTCCTGTGCCAGTGTGGCCTGTAGCTTGTGCCCTGTGCCCTCTTTGTGTCCTGTGCCTTGTGCCCCTGTGTTCTGTGCCCTGTGCCCCTATGCCCAGTGTCTTGTGCCCCTGTGGCCTGTGTCTTGTGCCCCTGTGCCCTCCTTGTGCCCTATACCTTGTGCCCTGTGCCCCTGTGCCCTGTGCTTTATGCCTTATGCCCTGTGCCCCTATGCCCAGTGTCTTGTGCCCTGTGCCCCTGTCTTGTGCCCTGTGCCCCTGTACCCTGTGCCCTGTACCTTCTGCACACCGCCACCTGGTTAGAAGGAGGGAGCAGCAGGTGGTTTTCTGGGGCTCTGCTGTTCGCGGGCCTTGTGCTTTGGACATCTTCGCTAGTCTTATTTTGCTTTTAAGAATGATCCAGGGATATTTGTGCAAGACTGGAGGTGTCTCAGGCATGGCAGGCCCTCCAAGCACCGCACTCCTAGAATGTGCAAACTGGGCATTCCTTCTGGGGCTAGAACATGCCAGAAATTTGATAAGACCCCAATTCAGAGACTTGGGGGAGAATGAGAGTTTTTCTAGCCTTAGCAGCTTGGGG